TATGGTCTGATAGATACCTGAAAATCTGTACATTGTAGTCAAGAGCTATCCTAGTATCTCCTTTTCCTGGTTTTTAGAGTATAACCAGAGAGTATTGAAGGGAAGAAGAGGGTTGATTCTCTGGATGCGAATTCACTTTTCAGAATAAATCATGCTAGGTCTATGGCCTACCAGTGTTCTCACAGTACTACTGGTGAATCAATGCACACTCTGGAGAATCCAGTCCAACATCCCTCAAACCTCCACTCTATCCTCAGTCCCTCCATACGCCCTGACATTAGGTTCTCTCCTTTGGGTGCTTGCCTAAAAATGAGCAGTGTGAATACCACCCACATATCTCTGGTCATACCTGCATAGAACCTGCCTCTCTGAATTTCTATTCTTATGAAGCAAAGGAAGCTATGCCTCTCTAAGGACTTGTACTTTTGGTTCATATTTTCTGTTTTCTCCCCACAGCCATTATTTGATGACAGATCAGTAAACACATAGAACCTGGAGCTCATGACTGAGGCATCTAGTGATGTGGGAGAATTGTCTGTATTCTGTCAATCATATTTTAATAAAACACTGATTGGCCAGGCAGGCAGTATAGGCAGGAAAGCCAGACAGGAAGTAGAGGTGGAGCAAACAGACTGAGAATATTCTAGGAAGCTCCCTCTGCCAGTTCTGCCCAGACCACCGGAGAGAAAAGATGTAAGCTGCCCCACTGGAAAAGTTACTGAGCCATGTGGCTAACGTAGATAAGGATAATGGGGTAACATAAGTTATAAGAGCTAATAAGTAGCCTGACCTAATGGGCCAATCAGTTTATAATCTTATGGAGTCCTGTGTGTAATTTTCCTTGTTGCTTGCCGGTTGTGGGGTACCGGGAGGGACAGATACCCCAAGCAAGCCGGCCGTCACACTACAATCTAGGGCAGAATGTCTTTGCCCAGATTCAGGTCAGAGCCATGCTTGTATTATCATGCAACCACCACAGGCTGTATACTTTTGAGGTCTGAGCCTGTGTTTTTTTTCTTTGTATCCAATTGTAGCACAGCACTTGGTAAACATATGCAAATAAGAACAAATTGAGACAAAACTTACCACTTTTGTTGTTTCAATCACATACAACAAGTTCATTGGATATCTGAATCTCTCTCTACCAAGATGGTACAAAGTGCAAGGCTTTGTCTATCACATTTACCAAGCTTGCATTAGCCCCTAGTATGGGGATAGACACATAGTAGAGCTTATGGATTTCTAATAATAGATGAATAAAATGTATAAGATTCTCAAGAGCATGACTCCAAACCAATGAAAGAAAAAGGTGATTCAGGGTGAAAGTCTTCAAGGAGAGTAAACATTTGAAAGTCAGTTTGGAAGGTGGTATTTAGATAAAGAAAGCAGGTCCCATTGTCCCACAGTCTCATGAACTGTGTCCTTTATTTATTCAGTCAATGGGAAAAGATGACAGGGTTCCTCTAGAGGCTTCATATTTGCTCTTTTGATGACTGTAATTGAAGCATAAGTAGAAGACTTGCACTGTCCCTGGCATAAAGCTAGGTGTGCAGAATCCACATATAACTACATACAAAAACTACATCTGCATTTTTCAGAGTCTTTAATATTGCCTATTTATGATAGTGACATAGTTTTTTTAGAAATGAATATTTTTTATGTTTAGGCAACACTATAAAGAAAATATCTTCCAACTGAGTGGTGGTGGCACATGCACTTGGAAGGCAGAGGCAGGTGGATCTCTGTGAGTTTGAGGCCAGCCTGGTCTACAAGAGCCAGTCCCAGGACAGGCACCAAAAACTACAGAGAAACCCTGTCTTGAAAATTATATATATATCTTCCTTCTTTTAGATAAGAAAACACAAATCAGACATTATTTAAAATACATGCACAAGTTATCTACATAACAATACTTTAGTATTTGCCATGTGATAGGTGCTGAAAATGATGACATGTTAATATCATGATTATTATGAATCTCAAGCAGGGATTCAGAGTAGAAGGCCAAAAGAATGCTGATCATGATGGTTAGGGAATGTTATCACTCATAGAAAACTCAGGGTGAGATTGACATCAAGTATGTAAAGCTCAACGGTGTGATCAGTTTCTTCCTATACTGAGGGCAAGATCTTAATTATAATAGAAAAATAAATTAAATACCACTCAATTATTTGTTCATTCATTCAGCACATTGTTGTGTTTGCTGCAATTGATGTAATACTAATAAAACTTCCTTTTATTCAAAGCTCTATGCTTCCTATATATTATCACATTTAATAGACACAATAAGTGTTATCATGCAGATGAAGAAAATATTCAAGAGGATAAGAACTTGAACCTGGAGGAGTGACCACCAGAGGCCCTCCCTGCACCTGGAGGAGTGATCACCAGAGCCACAGAGCCCAACCTCATCTGGAAGATGTGTGACCACCTAAGTCACAGGCCTCATTGGAGGAAGAGATGGGTAGACAACAGTGTAAGAAGACACTCAACGACATAAAGAGTAAGACGCTACCTCAGAAACTAATGGTTCTACAATAGAAAGACATGAACATCTCAAGGCAGATGAAGCAGAAGAAAACAATTTCAAAAGCAACCTTGTCGACAGAGGTTTCTGTCCTGCCCAATCTCACAGTCGTTCAGTCCTAAAAAATAAAACACACAGAGGTCTACATTAATTATAAACTGATTGGTCTATTAGCTCAGGCTTCTTATTAACTCATAACTTATATTAGCCCATAGTTCTTGTCTGTGTTAGCCACACGGCTTGGTAACTTTTTTGGTGAGGCAGTCACATCTTGCTTGCTCTGTGTCTGGCTTCCTCTCTATCTGGGTGATGACTGCAGACTGAATCTTACCTCTTCCCAGAATTCTTGTTGCCCTGCCTCTACTTCCTGCCTGGTTGCCTCACCTATACTTCCTGCCTGGCTCCTGGCCAATCAGCATTTATTTAAAATACATGTGACAGAGTACAGACTCTTGTCCCCACAGCATAACCTTATGAAGATGGTAGAGGCCCTTAAAGAGGAAATGAAAAATTCTCTTAAAGAAGTAGAGGAAAAGACAAGCAAAAAATTGGAAGAATTCAACAAATCTCTTAAAGGAAACAAAGAAAGCCAAGGGGAAAAAAACAATCAAACAGGTGAAGGACATTAAAAGCTCAACCCAATATGAGATACTGTGTCAGGTTTGACACTTAAGAATGTCTGCAGGAGATGCCTGTGCATTATAAGGAGGTTTTGCTTTATTTTCTTTTGGAAAAAGCTCGAAAGAGAAGAATAGAGAATGAGCCACCATCCTCCATGTGGAGGAAACACAGTCTAAAGTCACAGAAATCTAATTACTGCTTACACTTGATAAAATATATAATTAAATATAATATAGAGTTAACGTTAGTTCCATAATATAAGTTTCTCTGTATAACATTAGTAAAATTTCAATTTTATTTTACAAGATGAACATAATTGACGAAGAAAAGGAGGCTAAATAGACAAATACTATGTGGTTTGTCCTAAGGGCCCTTCATCATAAAGATCAGGAGGTGTTTGGAGAACATGGTTGAGGGTCACAACAGACATACTCTGGAATAAATGGTTCCCAGAAGGAGATCGCAGCTGACGTTCAGGCCACAAGCTCCTCATGAATAATCAAGACACCTGTGAAACAAAATCCTTATAAAATCTACAATGAGACATCAATCAAGTGAACACTGAATGCAGGATATAACAAAATTTTGGAAATATAGGGCAATTGGAAAACTTATGTAGATTAGCAGGTGAATGACCAAGAAATAGTGTTAAAAATAACCATGGTATCTGGAGTTTGAAGGAAATTGCAATTAATAGACATAATTCCTCTGGTGTAGTTTGACTGGTTAAAAAACTCAGTTTGACTGAGCACCTGCTGCAGTCTCACCACTGTCTGGGTTCAGGTCCTGAGACAGGGAAGAGACATTATTATGAAGAAATGAACCTTCCAACAACCAGATGAGTTTCACAGAAGTTCATCCCCAAATAGCTCCAGTTGTCTTTATTTATATATTAAAAACAAGCATATTTTCCCATACTAATAAACAAATTTTTCCCACCCTTCAATGCTAACCTCTGGCAAAAAACAAATATGCCAAATATGTTTTTTTTTGAAAACAACTTTTACATCAATACATTTTCACATCAAAAACAACACTTATCCTTTTCCTATCTTAACCAGATATTGAACCAGGAACATCCTGTCTTTATAAAACTAAAAGGTGATTGACATAGGCACATATTTTCAAGAACACCAATCTCATTCAAAACATATTTGTTTTGTGTTCTTTTGTTTTTGTTTTTGTTTTGTTTTGTTTTTGTTTTTTGTTTGTTTGGTTTTGGTTTTTTGAAAGCTACAGGGTTTCTCTGTAGCTTTGGAGCCTGTCCTGGAACTTGCTCTGTAGACCAGGTTAGCCTCGAACTCACAGAGATTCAAAACATATATGCATATGTTTATATTTATTGAACACGCCTCTGATCCTGTCAGTACTGAATTAGAACAGCTCCTGGGGTCTGAAGTTACAGCTGACATCCCCAGATGAGAAACCTGAGAAGCATCAGCTCCCAAAGAATTTTAGGGAGAAATATTCAAGAAAAAAAAAATGGGGTTTCCAGGAATGATTACATCTGTCCCATGCGTGATTGACAAAATGACACTAAAACTACCGAGAGAATCGTCAATATTATAAGAGGGAAAAGAGGATGCAGACCACATGGCCCCAGAAGTATTCTATACTGTCCTGAAGTCCACTGGTCCATGCCAAGTGAGACTGTCCCCTGAGCTTTTACCTCATCTGGAGAGCTGTTGTACAAGCACACATATACTGGTCCCAAGTTAAGCCACACAGCTCCCAACAACTACCCTGGTATAGCTTCTTATGAGAACTTTGTAAGAACAAACTCTACAAGCCACAATAACAAGTAGCTACTGGTCTGAAGACCATTAAAAAGTTTAATATATATATAGATATTGAACTCGAGTTGGAAGAGGCGAGTCTGGTCTCAAAATGGAGGGCCATGATCCAAAGGAACCAGAACAGTTGAGGAAACTGTTTATTGGTGGTCTGAGCTTTGAAACCACAGATGATAGCTTAAGAGAACATTTTGAGAAATGGGGCACACTTATAGACTGTGTGGTAATGAGAGATCCCCAAACAAAACGTTCCAGGGGATTTGGTTTTGTGACCTACTCTTGTGTTGAAGAGGTGGATGCTGCAATGTGTGCTCGGCCACACAAAGTTGATGGGCGTGTGGTGGAACCAAAGAGAGCCGTTTCTAGAGAGGATTCTGTAAAGCCTGGTGCCCATTTAACAGTGAAGAAAATCTTTGTTGGTGGTTTTAAAGAGGATACAGAAGAGTATAACCTGAGAGACTACTTTGAAAAGTGGGGCAAGATTGAAACCATAGAAGTTATGGAAGATAGGCAGAGTGGGAAAAAGAGAGAATTTGTTTTTGTGACTTTTGATGACCATGACACAGTTGATAAAATTGTTGTTCAGAAATACCACACTATTAATGGGCATAATTGTGAAGTGAAAAAGGCCCTTTCTAAACAAGAGATGTAGTCTGCTGGATCACAGAGAGGCCGTGGAGGTGGATCTGGCAATTTTATGGGTCGTGGAGGGAACTTTGGAGGTGGTGGAGGTAATTTTGGTCATGGTGGAAACTTTGGTGGAAGAGGAGGCTATGGTGGTGGAGGTGGTGGCAGCAGAGGTAGTTATGGAGGTGGTGATGGTGGATATAATGGATTTGGAGGTGATGGTGGCAACTATGGTGGTGGTCCTGGTTACAGCAGTAGAGGAGGGTATGGTGGTGGTGGACCAGGCTATGGAAACCAAGGTGGTGGATACGGTGGTGGTGGAGGAGGAGGATATGACGGTTACAATGAAGGAGGAAATTTCGGTGGAGGTAACTATGGTGGTGGGAACTATAATGACTTTGGAAATTATAGTGGACAACAGCAATCAAATTATGGACCCATGAAAGGGGGCAGCTTTGGTGGAAGAAGCTCAGGCAGCCCCTATGGTGGTGGCTATGGATCAGGTGGTGGAAGTGGTGGATATGGTAGCAGAAGGTTTTAAAAAAAACAGCAGAAAAAGGCTACAGTTCTTAGCAGGAGAGAGAGCGAGGAGTTGTCAGGAAAGCTGCAGGTTACTTTGAGACAGTCGTCCTAAATGCATTAGAGGAGCTGTAAAAGTCTGCCACAGAAGGAGCGATGATCCATAGTCAGAAAAGTTACAGCAGCTTAAACAGGAGGCCCTTCTTGTTCAGGACTGTCAGAGCCACAGTTTGCAAAAAGTGCAGCTATTGATTAGTGCAATGTAGTGTCAATTAGATGTACATTCCTGAGGTCTTTTATCTGTTGTAGCTTTGTCTTTCTTTTTCTTTTCATTACATCAGGTATATTGCCCTGTAAATTGTGGTAGTGGTATCAGGAATAAAAAATTAAGGAATTTTTAAGTTTTCAAAAAAAAAGTTTAATATATAAGAAATCATTGAACCTCTGTACCCTGAATATTTTATGCTTTCTCCACTTTTGTACTTGAAATTTCACACTAAATCACAGCATTGATACCCATTTAAATCACCACAAAATCAGGAACAAGGGTCAGTAAGTTTGCCAAACCTGATAACTTGAGTCTAGTCCCTAGGACCTTCATGGTGAAAGAAAAACATCTACTCCCTCAAGCTGTCCTCTGATTACTATTACCAATAAAAAACAGGAATCCGATATCAGAGTAAAAACCTGAAAGATCAGAGAAGCAGATGAGCAGCCTCTTCCTTTCCTCCATCCAAAAGGGCCTAGATTCTTTCTCCACCCTGACTTATCACTTCCTGTCTTCTCTTTGTACAGACTACAGACCTCTATGGTTAACTAGTGGTTAGTTTCATCCTCTGACTCCAAGCAAGCTTTATTTCTCAGAATACAAACAACAATTCATCTTTTGTCTAAACAAAAAGTGAAGGTTTAAGCTACATTGTAAAACAATATACAATAAATACAATAATTATATACAAATATATACAGACAATAATTATATTAACAATGTTTACTCCAGTTACATTTGACAAAATCAGAGAAAACACTCCATTATTTATCCTATCTTGGTAAGTCCAAAGTGTTGTACCTCATTCACTTTCTATCCTAAGTTGTAGTACCAACCCAAAATTATCGTTTTATGTCTCTCAACTTTATATACTTTACACCTCTTTTTTGAGTTTCCTTTCTAAATTTTTTTAACAAGGAAAACTATAAATATCTAGCTTTCAACTCCATCAGAGACCTGAGGAAAATAATACTACCTGAGCAAATAGGAAGTGAAAACAAGAGACTTCCAAAAAATGTGAGAAATGATTGAAACAGCTGGCTGCCTGAACAGTAGTCACCCAAGATTCCTCTGTAACATTGGAACATCTATCTTCAGCCTACAGGCCTACAATATCTGACAGATTTTTCTATGAAGCAGGGATTTTGAAGGACTGTCTCACCTTGTTTTGGCAAAGTTCAGCAGTCACTTTTCTTTGTGTCCTGCTTCTTCAATTTGAGCAGCACACTGCCAGCAGCTGAGGCAAGGGCAGTTTATTGCCCAGTAGCTAACTTTTACCACAAATAAATCAAAGTCTATATGGAGTTTCTTTGATGTTCATTATCTTCCCTAAAGTAAGTTGGTGCTGCCAGGAGCAGACATGTCTCACTATCATACAAACAGAAACTATGTTATTAAAATATCCTAAATGCCGTATTCCGTAGATCTCTGAAGTGTTTGAAAACCTCCTATATACCTAAAACATATCTCTGTTTGGCCTTGAAAGCATACATAACATGCCCACGAGTTTGATTGTAACCAGGCAGTGGCAGTGCATGCCATTAATACCAGCACTCAGGAGGCAGGGGCAGGTAGATCTCCATGAGTTCAAGGTCAGTCTGGTCTGCAAAGTGAGTTCAAGGACAACAAAAACTGTTACACATAGAACACATAGAAATTCTGTCTCAAAAAAAGTTTGATTGTAATAGGTGACTAACTACTAACCTGCATTTCTTTATTATCCTAAATAGTTTGTAATAATAACATTCAATGACTAGAAATTATCATTACATTGTTAAATGAGCTGCATAGGTACAATACCTTGAACAAGAGTGGAAACATATATAGTATGTTATAACAAGAACAATCTTAAATTTGTATCAATATACAGAAATATCTTAAATAAGAGTAGAAACATATGCCCAGTATAACAAAAAAATTCTCAAATTTGTATCAATATACAGAACTAAATACACAATACTAAATATCAAAGACTAGTAGTTGGTTTTTTTGGTTTAAAAATAGATTCAATAATCTACCATTTTATCCTATCATATCTATATTTCCCCCTTTTCTTTTCAGAACAAGATCTCTGAATCTAATCTCCTTTGTTCGGCTTTCTTCCTGAACACTACCAATAATCACTTGTAACTAATTCACTTAAACAATGACAAATATTCATAATTGCCCACCCCACTATTTGGAGGCTGCTTATTTGTTCCTGGCTGCCCAGACCACAAAATAATCACAAAGAAACTATATTATTTGCAATACCATTTGGACAATAGCTTAAGAATATTTCTGGCTTACACATATCTTAAATTAACCCATTTCTGTTTATCTGTGTGTTGCCACATGGCTGTGACTTATCAGCAAGGTTCCATCTCTCATCTGTCTCCAATGGGACTACATGACTTCTTTCTGACTCCACCTACTCTCTCCCCCTCTATCTGTTTGGAACTCCTGCCTTTCCCTATTCTGCTAAGCCACTGGTGGAAACCGATTCATTCATTAACCAATAAAAGTAACACATATATAGAAGGACTTCCCACACCATTTTCCCTTTTATGTTTAAAGAAAAAGGAAGGTTTTAACTTTAACATAGCAAAATTACACATAACAAGACAGGTATTAAGCAAGAATTACAGTTACAATATTTGTATCTACTTTATCTTAACTAAGGAAAAATTCAACTCCATCAAAGACTCCAGAAGGATATAATGTTTCCCAAGTAAACAGGAAGTGCATTGTAAGCAACTTACAAAACTTTAGAATTGACAGAGACTTCTTGCTGCCTGGACAGTCACCCAAAGTTCTTTTGTAACATTGAAGCATCCATCTTCAGTCTATAGGCCCATAGTATCCAGCAGACTTTTCCATAAAGCAGGAAATCTGAAGATTTGTTTTATCTTGTAATGCAATGTCCATCTGTTGCTTTTTTCTGTGTCCTGCAGAATGTCTGGAAGACTCTTTTATGAAGCAGGATCCCCAAAGGACCATCTCAGCTTCTTTAGGCAGCTTTAGCAGTCATTTTTCTGTGAGTCCTGAAAGTTCAGTTCATACAGCATAACATCAAGCAGTCCAGGCAAGAGCAGTTTCTTGCCCAAATGGCTAACCAACTTCATAAGGAGCCTCTTCAATGCCCATCATCCTCTTGAAGTAGATTGGTGCTGCCAGGAACAGATGTGTCTCAGTGTCATAAAAAGTCTAACTTCTTAAAATATTTTAAATGCCATATTCTGAAAGTCTTTGAAAGATTTGAAGAATACCTAACTGAAATATATCTCTATATATCTAGCAAACCTAACTAAAACTAACATGACTACAAGCTTGACTATCATAGATGATTTTCTATTAACATATATTTCTTAGTTATGCATTACCTTTTTAAATGAGCTGCACAAATACAATACCTTAATTAAGACCAGCAATACATATACACAGTATAACAAAATTGACCTTAAATTTTATCAATAGACCAAGATCCATACCAATGCAAAGTATCATCTCTATAGCATATCCACCTTTAAATGTAAACAAATATTTATAAACAATTATTTAGGGAATTTGGGCATAGTTCTTTCCAAACTGCTACCTGTTTTTTGTTGGCCAGAGTATCTGAGGATTCACAGAAACCTCTCAGGGAGGTCTTGGTCCACCAAACCACATTAGTCTGGAAGGATTCTACAGGCTCTCATCTTCTATGGAAACAAAAGAAGAACCTCCTTTCCAAAGCAAAAAAATCCTTAGACCCAAAGATTGAAGTCATGATGCTTTTAAAATACGTATGTTGGTTTAACTTAGCAGTCCATACAATGAAATGTCTGTCTGTACTTAACTCCTTCACAGTCAAAAAATTCAAAGAAAACACAATAATATACATAATTCAGACTCTCTGTGTAAATTCCATCTTTATGTGACTTGTTTTTCTTACTCTATTACTTTTTCTACAAGGTTAATATTTGTTTTATTATCTTTACTCCTTTAATCTATCTGTATTCTTTTATATTACATTTACTGTCTTTTTACTATTTTTCTTCTCTCTCCAAAGTCTACATACATTTTTAAATACACTGTGGCTCATTTAGAGGGTTTTTTTATGTATGAATCTGTCCTATTGTGTATCTGGAAGCCTTTTCTGTCCAGGAGCACTTCTTAAAATTCTAAACAGTGGTGTTACGAAGGACTAAAGTTGCTTTGCTGTTGGCTCCACCCAGTCCAACATGGCAGAGGTCTATTTAGGGCCTCTGAGACTGCTGGGTGGGAGCCATCCTCACCACCTCAACTCTGGGTAGCACTGTGTGGAGCATATAAACACTGAGTAAAAGCTAAATCTGCAAAGCAACACACTGCATAGCCTAGAAATATCTCTGTATAGTGGCAGGAACCTGCCATGCTCTCCTGTCTGTGTATGCCTAGCAGACCTGATTCTACTGCCTTGAGCAACATGGGCATGGTCTCAGCTACTTACCTCCCAACCCCAAGTGGGCATATAAGCACTTGGACACAAAAACACCATTCACATGCTTGATCTCCTGAAGAAGCCAGAGCTTTTCATGCCACTGTTTCAAAACCAGGCAGTGTTTCTTCGTTTGTTTTGCTAATTATGAATTAGGAAAGCCTCTCTTAAAGGAGTTACACAGTTTTGCTGCTGCTGCTGCTGCTGCTGCTGCTGCTGCTGCTGCTGCTGCTGAGTCAGGAAGCCTTCTCTTAAAAGAATCGTGCCTCTGCTTGCTTCCAGCAAACAGACCCACCTGAGAAAATGCTGCTACCAAAAACCCATGCTTAACTCTGTTCTTTTGTGCCCAGAATTCCTTTTTAGGCTTTCTCAGGTTTACATGAATATAGTTGACCACAGTGGCGTGCCAATTTGTAGGCAGAGGTCACTTGTTCATTCCTGGCTGCCCAGACCACAAAATAATCACAAAGAAACTATATTATTTGCAATACCATTTGGCCAAATAGCTTAACATATATTTGCCTTACTTTTATATCTTAAATTAACCCATTTCTATTCATCTGTGTACTGCCATATGGCTGTGGCTTACCAGCAAGTTTCCATCTGGTGTCTGTCTCCAGAAGGGTTACATGGCTTCTTTGTGACTCCGCCTACTCTCTCCTTCTC